AACAAATATTTACAACATAGCAGACAGTATTAGATATTCCACACTTTTCTGGGTTTTGTTTTGTTAACTAAAGATAGTAGGGTAAAAACTTCCTTTTGACAGGACATTTTTCTTTGGGAACAGGACACAATGACTTTGTCTGAGTATGATGAATGAATAGTAACCTTGGGTGGCTATGTGTATCCAAAATAAATGCTTATCACAGGGAAGCTTATCGTTGCAGCTTTACAAAGAATGACCAGGTAAGCAAATGTAAAACAAAGTTTTCATTCATACCCTTCTTATAGATTCTGTCCTCAAATTAAGTTATTACCAGATTTGTAAAAATTCCTCTTTGAATATCCATGGATTCCATCTCTCGTGTTGGTAAAGGGATGCAGAAAGAAATTGTCAAAGCAAAATAACAGCAGAGGGCAGCCTGGGCTTGGAAACACTACCGGGCGCCAACTGCCCAACTCATATGAAAGGACGCCCAGCAGGGGTCTACTGGAAGGGCCTGCTCAATGGGGGAGAAACCCCCACTCTTTTGGGGGTCACAATAGTGATGTGTACTGTGAATGTACAGTGGAAAAGACGGAGCAAGCTGAAATTTCCTTCTAAGTCTCAGAGAGGTTAAGTAAGTCACCTAAGTCACACAGCTAGTGAGAAACAGAATCAGAGTTTGCAGCAGGGTCTGCCCAACTTCAGGTCTTTATTACTGTTACAACCGTTTTGTTTCCTATCACTGTTTTGATCATGAAACCTCCAACATAAATTAACAGATTTATATCCTTAGAACCACTGAGCTAAATCCCTGGCCCTATTTGCTCTTTCTTTAAATTGTGCTTTTTGCCTTGTAGTATGTCTTTTAATTTTTTTTTTTTTTTTGTGGTACACTGGGGTATCATGATACACTGGGGTAAAAAAGATGGCTGTAATGAGGCAATGTGGTGGTGAAGTGTGGGGGAGTGGAAGCCTTCTATCATCCTCTACGCAGGGCTGGGACTGTGCCTCTGAACTGTGAGCCTCACATGAGGTTCGCAGCCACGTAGCCCAGTGGGACAGGATGGCTAGAGGGGCCCGAAGGTGCACATTTCCTTCTCCCACATGGAAGTCTGGAGTGCACTGGACCTGGGCCTTTCCTTTCCCCCAGGTCAGCAAGGCTCAGATAAATCCTGGTAGGTTAGATGCTGGTTAAATAGTCCCCCCCTGGGGCACATCTACTAAGAAGACCAGACTACTCTGGCCTATCCCAGAAAGGCTCCTTTCCCCTACAAACAGGAGGTAAAATTCCCGAAGTGAGAGTCCCTGTGCAGGCTCCCTCTGGAGCTTTCTCAGGGTTTTCTGCACAGAGCCTCCAGCAACTCTTCAACCCATTCTGGTTTCCTACAGCAGCTGCACTCCTTCCCACTAGTTTCGGCTCTGATTTTCTGCTTCTGTTGTTCTCTCCAGTTT